GGGGGGGGGGGGGGGGGGAAACATAGCCACAGCTGGACCTTTATCCTGGTGAGTGAAGAGGGCAGAGGGAGCTCTGATTTTCCACGGTAAAAACCAACAAACAAACAAAAAAAAACAAAAAAATCAAATGCCAAAATATACAGACATTTAGAATTTATTTTATTATAATGAGCGAGGCACTGACAGGCTTGCAAATTACTTTAACATTGTAAATATACCAGTAAAACACTGTGTTCAATTGATACCCACACACACACACACAGAGTGCAAGAAGGGGCTCTTGTATTTAGGGGCAGCATCTGCAGTTGTCCACTGCTGGCCATGTAGAAGCCTGCAACTGTTACTCCAAGCTCCTCTCCATACTTCTAGTTTGTAAAACTGATTCCTATCTTTAGTTGCTCAGCTTCAGCTGGCATCTTTATTCCAGTCTTCAACCCCCAACCTTCTGCTTGGACGCAGGTGCTAACTTTGTCTTATAAGCCTTATATGATACTTTATTTCCTGTTGTGAGTTCCTGGTCCTCAACTTTATTCTCTTCCAGAGCTCAGCTCTAACCATTCTTCTGGCTGCTCATACATTAGTCCCTTATGTTTAGGGTATCTTTAACATACCTAATTCAAAAGTATTGATTGTATGTCTACATAAATTTGCAGTTTAGCCTTAATCTAGCCACTTTGGTCACGGGCAGCTGTATAGTCATGGCAGCATTAGCTTGAACATGGATGGCACAAGCCTGCCTTGGCATTGAAGCCCTTCCAAAACTAAGTTTCTTATTAGTATCCAAGCTAGCTATTTTAAAAACTAACCAAGCTATGTCTACAGAAACTGCAATCCTTAGAGGGAAGACAGAAAAGGAACCTCTGAAAAGAAGGGAATACACATTAGGACTAGCAGCAGCATAAAATGTATATCTTCCTTTTAAAGGCAATGAGGGGCTACAGTTGATGTTATATATGACTTTTAAAAATTCTGCTAGTTGCTTTTGTCCAACTGAACTGATAAAGTAGGCAATTAACCAGAAGAACAGATCTAAGAGGTACAATAAGTATATTTACAGCATCACTTAAGCTTTTGTAACAGAATTCCATTATATTAAAATACAAGTTTTGGAAACAATATATTTTGAAAAAAATTTAGTTACTTAAAATTTTAAATCTGAGAAAGTAATTTATCAATTTATTTTGTGAAGCATTAAGATTAAATTTAGCTGAAAACTATTGCTAAATACAATTTTATCGTTAAAAATATTTTGTCTCTTAAAAGAAAAAAGTGCTAAAGTATAGATGAAAACAGTTTTCAGTCCTTTAAGAATGTATTTTTAAAATCTATTTCTACAGTTCAGAAAAGTCAATTGCTGAATGAATGACTTATACTTAAATAATCCACACCACAGTAATATTTCAATATCCATACCTGTTTCCTTCTTGTTCCCCTTTCCACCGTCTCGGCTCTTTTTCAAAACTGCCTTTAACATTTTAATGCTGTTCCTGAAGGACAGAAAGGTAAATTAAAAGACTCTGTATGATGAATGCTCATAACAAAATGAAACTGTGACAGATTAAAAGTTAGGTTATTTATCTGAAACATGGTGGTTTTACATGGGTTTTTGTTTTTTATAATCAAGTTATTTTGGTCAAACAATATACTGAGGCTGCACGGAATGTTTTAATACTAGAACCAAGTGATTAGAGGTTCACTGTCTTGTTATGAAGAACAAACAACGCACAGCATTCTCCACATTCCACATATAATTAAGGTTATGAGGCTAAACCTGGATAAGTTACTGTAAGACACTCTGTCAAATGAATGCCTGGCTCCTGACCCGACTTCATCTGGATGGGGGTGTGGGAGAGAACACATAAGATGCACAGTATCTATTGAGATTAGCAAGGTGATATAAAGAGTATTCTTGTGGCATTTTTGAATGTTTATATGAGACATATATGACTTCTATAGGAAGAAAGTATTTTTACCTATACTTGAATATAATCTTAATGCCCAGAACTGATAATCACTAAAAAGTGAAAGAAAGAATTTTTTTCATTATTTCCCCAATCCTCATTACGTCTAAAAAAGCTTTAAGAATAACTGTTAAAAAGATTTAATGAAACATCTTAGAGAAAAACTGTGATGGCAGAGAAAGTATAGAAAATGAGCATGAAACATGGGATGACAAAAAAGCAGTTAGGTGGAAGGGGGGGAAAAAGCTCCACTTTGGAGCTGCTCTCCTCCCCCCCCC